TTTAGGTGTTTGGTTGCAAATGCTACATCTACAAGAAGCAGCAACACCTAGGGAAGTTCCAAAGACATTGTGATATTGGTTTTCTTGTTGGTTACTCATCAAAGTCCAAAGCATATCGAGTATTTAATCATGCCACCGGCTTAGTTGAAGAAATATATGATGTAAAATTTGATGAATCTAATGGCTCCCAAGGAGCACATGAGAATCTTGATGATGTAGGTGATGAACCATTGAGGGAGGCCATGAAGAATATTTCGGTTGAAAACATCAAGCCAAAAGATGATGAAGATGAAGTACAAGTGATTGATCCACCTTCTTCATCAAATGTGCCACAAGATGATGACAAAGATGGGAGAGTAGAAAATGGAGATACTTATGTCTCCCTTGATCAAATGGTGGCACAAGCTCAAGATGTTGATGCTCCACAACCTCCTCTCTAAGTGGTTGATAGAAGAAATTCGCCTCTACTTCAAGCACATCCACAAGATCTCATCATAGGGAGTCCTTCAAAGGGTGTAATGACTCGCTCTTAAAAACTTGCTTCATTTGTTAAACATCACTCGTTTGTCTCTTGCATTGAGCCTAAGAATGTAAAAGAAGCTCTTCAAGATCCGGATTGGATAAATGCCATGCATGAAGAATTGAACAACTTCACCTGCAATGAAATTTAGACACTGGAAGAGTGACCACAAGATGCAAGAGTCATTGGAACAAAGTGGGTGTTCGGCAACAAGTAAGATGATCAAGGCATTGTTGTAAGGAACAAGACAAGGCTTGTTGCAAAGGGGTTCTCTCAAGTTGAAGGTTTGGATTTTGGAGAGACATTTGCACCAGTTGCAAGACTTGAAGCCATTCGTATCCTCCTTGCATATGCATCGCATCATGAAATGAAATTATATCAAATAGATGTTAAAAGTGCATTTTTAAATGGCTTCATAAATGAACTAGTCTATGTTGATCAACCTCCTGGGTTTGAAGACCCTAGATATCCTAATCATGTTTATAGGTTGTCCAAGACGCTATATGGGCTAAAGCAAGCCCCAAGAGCTTGGTATGAGCGCCTTTAGGATTTCCTCATTGAGTTGGGCTTCACCATTGGGAAGGTCGACACCACACTATTCACCAAGAAGCTTGATGGAGAGATCTTTATTTGTCAAGTATACGTTGATGATATCATATTTGGCTCAACAAATGAAGATTATTGCAAAGAGTTTGGTGAATTGATGTCAAAGGAGTTCGAGATGTTTATGATTGGAGAGCTTACATTCTGTCTGTTTTTAAGTCAAGCAAATGAGAGAAGGGATTTTCATCTCTCAAGAAAAGTATACCAAGGATCTTCTCAAGAGGTTCAAAATGGATGAATGTAAGCCAATCAAAGACACCAATTGCCATCAAATGGACATCTTGACCTAGATGAGGGAGGTAAATCGGTTGATTAAACTCTCTACCATTTTATAATTGGTAGCTTGTTATACTTGACCGCATCTAGGCCCGACATCATGTTTAGTGTGTGTATGTGTGCTAGATTTCAAGCTAGTCATAAGGAAGCTCACTTAGTTGCCGTTAAAAGAATCCTTAAGTACCTTAAGCACACACCAAGCATTGGTCTTTGGTACCCCAAAGGAGCTAGATTCTAACTAGTTGGCTATTCCAATTCTGATTATGCCGGTTGCAAAATTGATAGAAAAAGCACATCCGGAGGGTGCCATTTGCTTGGTAGATCACTAGTGTCTTGGACCTCAAAGAAGCAAAATAGTGTGGCCTTGTCCACCACCGAGGCAGAGTACATTGCCACGGGTGCTTGTTGTGCACAAATCCTTTACATGAAGCAAACTCTTCTAGACTATGGTGTAGTATTAGAAAATGTACCTCTTTTGTGTGACAATGAGAGCGCGGTAAAGCTTGCTAATAACCCGGTACAACACTCTCGCACCAAGCACATAGATATCTGTCATCACTTTCTTAGAGATCATGATGCTAAAAATGATATATCATTAGAAGGTGTAAGGACCGAGGATCAATTGGCGGATATCTTCACAAAACCGCTAGATGAGGCTACCTTTTGTAGGTTGAGAAATGAGCTCAACGTGCTTGACCTAAGCAACTTCCCTAAAAGATGAGCTTGTGTTTTTCCTTGCATTGCATTGTAATATAAAACATGTTTAATTTTTAGTAATCCACTTAGGGCTTGTCTAACATAGTTAAGATAACCACTGAAAAGTGTGTGAAAAAACTTAACCTTGGATCAAACTTGACAAGAAACTAGATGTACCTTTCTTGTATTGCATTGCATATGCATGTGTGTTGCTTTGTCATTTCTTTTCGGTTGAGTTTTGAGCATTCGTTGTGTTCGTCCACAAATAGAGAGCATTTGAAGCACCTAATGGTTGAAAACCCTATTGTGTGGCCACATGGTGCTCCTCGCCCCCTCTTATCACTTATTTTCCTAAAAATGATTGTAGCCGAAGGCAAATTAGTTTAAAAAAATAGTTAAATGCCCGTGCGTTGCAATGGGTACACATAATATCATGATAACATATGTATGAGCGCGTGTTATACTGTATCTAAAATAGATACTGCAATCGTGATGTTTTACAAGTTGCAATATACGAGCATTCACCTTAATCATATCAAGTTTGTGTTTTACAATACATGTTTTACAATATATTGTACAATTAAGAATCTAATCTCTCAATGTTTCGACCAAGAGAACGTGTTTTGTACGAACAAGAAGCTGCAGCTGGTCACCAATCAAAGATAATCCAGAAGATTTTCAAATCCAAGATGCGGCATGTAACCTAATCTACATCATCAGGCAAAGAAACGACACCGATCAGACAAGCAACTGAAGCCAAAGTTGCCACCCAAGGCGGAGAGGACCAACATTCTCGCCGACAGGAGAGCACACTCACCTTAGTCGGCTCTGTTTCACTGTGGTTGGCTCCCTTTCTCGGAACAATCTTTTGATTTGACGTGGTGTTTGCATTGGTTTGGGGTTCGTGGCCCGTTATCAGTTCAAAATGTAATCTGAACTATTATATTGCCCGTGCTAACGCTACGATGGTGTTAAAAAAAAATAAATCATAAAGCTAAAATAAATCATAACTAAAAAAATCAATGGATGAAAGAAACAGAGAGCATCATAAAAAAGAATAGCAAAATCCCATTAATATCTTGTTTCATTGCTCCAAAGGCTAATTTTATTATATATAAAAACATGAAACTACATATACATATCAACAGAAAAGTGTCCCATGAAACTACATTCCTACAGCTCGTCAGGCAAAAGTCAAGTTTCTACATGAGTGCACACAGTTCAGCACTCAGTACAATTAACCTTGTCCTGAATTCAGTTCGGACTCCAGAGATTGCCATAAGAACACACTCATGAAAAGAAACAGCGCGATCTGATCCGCCATCGGAGTGAGTCTGAAGGTGAAGATGGACAGGGGAGCTGGTCCATCGACGGCCACACCTGCAGGTCACGCGCACCACCACCTTGGCACCAGTGCAGGTCACGCTGGACACTTCCACCTCTCGCCCCTTAGCATTTAGCTCTCAACAATACAGATAGGTTGCCAAGTACAAGCCAAAGAAGCTAAAGAAATGAACAACGGCAGTAACAATTCTCTGAGTAATACAAGAAATGTTCCGCATGCGCTTAAGATTTCTGATTGGAATTGAGTTAACAACCTTTGCACTTAAAGTTTCATGAAAGAAATTTGGCACAAGTTTATCACTTATTTCACACAAAGGAGATCATCAGCTTCAGAAAATTTAGCACAGGATAAAAAGAAACAAATGGCGAGGAGAGAAATCAAGAAATGCGGGGTGCATTGTTGGAGTTATTGTCTTCCTTCACCGCATCGATGAATTTTCTGAACCAAGATACAAACCTCTACCAGGAGATGATGACTTAAAAGAATCACACAGCATATGCAAAGAATGGATCACAACATATCTTAACGGAATGAACACAATCTGTTTGAGATGCAAGACCAAGGGCAAGGTCCCGAGGAAGCCCAAGAGCAAATTCACCATCAGTCATGGCCTCTATTTTCAGTTTCACATACAAAAAGAGGTGCATACCTCAAGCCAGTTTAGCATCAAAATATTTATCTTTAGGAGATCAAAACTTTTCCAATGGCACTTGAATAATCTTCTTACACAGTTTTCATCATTATGAGTAGTCATATCTCCCAAACACATGACTGAGAAGTAACCACATTGACCAGCAACCAAAGCTCCTTTTGAGAAGTAACCATATAGCAACAGATGATGATTGCAACAACCAATTAGACGCACGCAAACATTCATCCAAAATGGAAATTTAACCGTTGAAAACTTGAGATGACAATGCATTGAGGATAACTACCTTGAGAAACTCCCCAATCAGTTGAGCAGCACCGTGTCCGTGCGCTCGTCGTCCCCCACCAGCGATCACGTACAATCTATTTACTGAACCAAATCTAACATGCAGGGAAGAGATCAAAACAACGACACTATATTTTGCTAAAGACATATTTTTAATACGTTGGACATGTCACCATAAGATAATTCCAGCAACTTAAGAGATTGAGGATGACTGAATGAGAAATTAAAAGGTTCAGTAAATAGATAGTATAGGATGTACTGTTTGACTTTCCAACAGTATTTTGGTTAGCTAATAAGGGAGCTGTTACAATACTTATCACGTCAATGGATATTGTGAGGAAAAATGACAAGCTGTACTGCTATTGAGCCCAATTGATATGTCTTGTTGTCTGGTTACAATCAAAATGTGCTCTCAAACAAGCATATGAATTCAAATTTGAGGAATCAAAATTCTTCCTGGAGGTACCAATGCAGCAGCTCGCACTCAACGATGCCTTCCCCAGCCAGCACCAGTGGAGGCCAGCGCAACAGCAGCATCAATCAACGAGATTTAGAGAGAGAAAATATCAACCTGCAGAAAAGGAGCACACGAACCTTTAGCACGGAGCCGCGGCGACCGAATCCAGATGCAGGAGGTCGACCTCCGGGTTGACTGCGCCGCCGGGTGCGGCATCGCCGAGATCATTCCGCGCCGAGGTTGCCCTGCAGCGCGAGACGGGGAAGAGCGGGGCGGCGGCAGCACGGCCACAGCGCCGGCACGGGGTCAGTCGGGACAGGGCAACAAGTCTGTTCTGCTCCAAATGCGGGAGGTCGACCTCCGCGTCGACTACGTCGCCGGGTGCACCACCGCCGAGGTCTCCATGCCGCGGCGCCGGCATGGGATGATCCAGGGCAGGGCAGGGCGAGCGCTAGGACGAGGGCTACGGGATTTGGAGCGGAGGACTGATTGTGGAGCCAGACATGGGGGAGCAAGGGAAGGAGACCGGGGAAACCACGTGCACCCCCAGCGGCGAGATTAGGGTTGTCTCACGTGCGGAAGATTTTGTTTCGCGGGAAGGGAGCGGGGGCGAGTGATATTTGTTTCGCACACCTATCAACGATTCTCTTATAAATATTTTAATTGTAGAGATAGGTTGACTCACAAATTAAAACTAAACGACTATATTAGTGAGTTAATAAAAGTAGAAATATTTATTTATTTACATTAAATTAAATAATTGTATTTTGCATACTAATCTTTGTATGACAAAATGTGCACAGTATCGATACAACATTTTTAATTTTTATAGTCAGCTCCCCGCGCGTTCCTGCGGGCGAGTAGTTGTAGTCACGATGTAATAATACGAATCATTCCAGGAGAGCAGATTCAAATGTGTTTATATGGACTGGTGATGACATAGTGGAGAGTGTGAGACGCGAATCTGAGTTTTAGCTGTCGTAGGTTGATGCTGATATCTGGGATAAGGCAGTGAACAAACATGATATGCAGTTGACACCTTCCTGTAACCAAAATTGTTGGGAAAGGAAATGTTAGTATATATTTATGGTGGTTGCCGTTATATAGAGGAATAAATTCATCATATTTGACAGGTTTTAGCTTGGTACAAATTAGACATGTTTTTGTAAAGAAGGATGTTAGTCTACTATATATCCAGAAGACAGTAAACTGAACTCTAATTCTACTTTCATGTGAGCAAGGGAATTGATCACCTCAGCGGGATTTCCCACACAGGCCTTGTCCAGTGCCCATAACAGCACATGGGCTCTGATTTGCAATGACAGTTACTGTGTAACCTAAAATAAATGCTTTTACTCTTTTTCCTTTGAAAATATGACCTCTAGATTTGAACTTTTGGAACATGTCTAAATCCAGTACAGCTCAATTAGTTTCATGCAGAAAGGTGTTAAGAGAGTGTAGAAGGTGGGAAGAGGAAGAAGGCTCTCTAGCTCAGGTTAGAATCATAATGCGGAAAGGGATAAAATGCACGGTCCATGCAAGTAAATGTTCAATATAAGCAGTTGAGTGTCAAAGAATATGAAACAAAATAGCAAATTAGAAGTCTGACATCAAGATTCATGTGTGCAGTTTAATATAAACGGTGGATGGGAATATGTGTTTCGGTGGCAGTAAGTGCTATACAAAGTGTGCTATACACTTGCAGTTATAACGATTTTCAGTAAGATGTTTTGACTATATAATAGTAAATACATTGGGGAGAATATCACACATGGTATGCAAGGCGAGGCATAGGGTATGTAGCATGAATAGCTTGGAGTAGAACTAACAACGTCGGGTTGATTTTTCTGAAAAAAGTTCGTTGTAGGGTGTGTGAACTTACGTTGGTGTCGATTGGCTAGCAGGAGTCCAAGAGTTGCTGGCAACACATGTTTGTCAGCCTGTTTGTATAGCGTTTGAAGAGCTGAGTCGTCGGGCACGGCGAGATGAATGTGAAGATTGAGCATCGTGTTCTGTGTGACATACATACAGAGAAATAAATAAAAGAGTCAAAGGGCAAACACAAACTTAGAATGAGTATTCATAGTTCTGCTAAATTCATCTTGTCTCTGTAGAGGAACAGATCACCTGCACTTTCTGCACCCCTGACCACCATCGAAATAATTAGAACCTGAGGCATGCTCTGCAAGAAAATTGTAACAGTTTGAGAAGAAAAAACTGATCAATCCCCATTACCAAAAATTGAGGAACCAAAAAAAGGAAAGGCACATGAGTAGGCAAATAAATTGGATATGGTACAATTGCACATGATGTAGTACCAGCAAGGCAATTGAGATAATAAAAGAGTGACAGAATCATAAATAAAGAGAATCACCACAAAGGCCAGAGTTTGTTTCATTAGGACGAGTTGTGACTGTAGTCATTCCACATATTTAGGGCTATCATATCTCTAACTGTGTTTCCATCATCTACTTGACTGCTAAGGGACATCACATCATTACTGTATTGGTTGTCACCTTCAGGGACATCAATAAAATGTTCTGGAGATATGTTGCTTCCTTGGTGACCCAACCAACCCTCATCCCCATTAAGCATCCGTATAAGATTATGGAACACCACTGCTGCAGCTGGTATCTTCACTTGGTTTTCAATAGGATGATTGTTCCAACTTTTAAGATAGGGAAACGTTTCTTAAGAACACCAATTGCTCTCTCTACGTGATTCCGCAATATGGCATGCCTATGATTGAACAACTCCTTATAATTTCTCTATGTGATTCCACAATATGGCACAATCCGGTTTTCTTGGGGTCGAGGTTGAGGAGCAGCTTCTCCTTCTTGCACCTTTCTTCTAATCTGGAAAGTTTAAAAACAGAGTTTTTATCAAAGCTGGAAGTCTGACATACAGGCACATATACATCAAGTACTTCAGGGGAAAAATTGAGTTGCAGCCTGTCTATCTTAGAAATAGGGTAATTATTCAAAAAATTGAGCAGTATTCTTTAGTACTACTACTGGCAACTGAAAAAATTCCAACATCTAGAAATAGGGTAATTATTCAAAGACACTTTACATTTCAGAATATGCTTCTTGATAAACAAATGCTGCAAGTAAAGTGCTCATTTCTGAATCTCACAAGCTATCTTGTCAAAATAATTATTACCGGCTACATGAATAACCTAATCTGTCTGTATATAAGAAAACATTGGAGCAAGAATCCAATCCAATCGACAGCAGGTAGAAGAGGAAACTGAGCAATAATCATCGTACTGCTGCGTACCTACTATTTTGTAGGAGCACAAGTCAACCGATTGTGCTACAGAGCTAAAGACGGAGCAAGGTAAAACAAATTGATGGATGGATCATATACTGGAGCTAGCCGTCGCTTTAATGGCAGATCTCACTCTACTGGATGCAACTCTACAAAAGAAAAGAAGAAAGATGCAACTCTACATAGCAGAGGGAACACCAAGTCGACGAGATCTGACTCTACCTGATCTGTGGGAGAAGAAGGGTGAAATCGAAACCCTAGACCAAAAATAAGTGAAGCACCAGAGCAGTGGAGATGGAAGGAAGAGGAGGGGGAGGGAGACGCTCGCGGGAGCGGATTCCACCAGGTCTGCCGGAGTGCAGCGGATGGCTGGGTGAGGACGACGATGTCGCGGATGCGGCGGGGGCGACGACGAGGGGCGGGGGCGACGAGGAGGAGGCGACCGGAGCGGCGATGAGGAGCATGCGGTCGGAGCGGCACCGGCGAGGCGGGGAGCTGGCGCGACACAGCGGCATGCCGCCAGCGCCGAGAAGAGGGAAGGGTGGACCGCACGGCGCTGGGAGAAGCGGAGCACAACGCGAATCCGAGCCGGCGAGGTCGGAGCGGCGGCTGGTGGCGCCGGCGGCGTCGTAACCTCGTGGTGGAGGCAGGGGAGGGGTAGACGGCGCTGGGCAGTGCCCTCGGCGCTGGCGAGATGCGCAGCTAACGGTGGGGGTGGGGAAAGAAGCCGGCGGTTCGCACGAAGGGAGCGGGGCGAGCCGATGATCCGTTTCGCACGCCTGCCAACGATTCTCTTGCGAATATTTTAGGCTTTGTTTAGTTAAAAAAACTTTTTCAAAAAGTGCTACAGTATCTATCACATCAAATCTTACGATATGTATATGGAGCATTAAATATAAACGAAAAAAACTAATTGTACAGTTTAGTTGGAAATTGCAAGACGAACATTTTGAGTCTAATTAGTCCATGATTGAACTCTAATTGCTAAATAAAAACGAAAGTGCTACCGTAACCAAATTTCTAAAATTTGGCCAACTAAACAAGGTCTTAGTTGCAGAGATTTTGAGGGTTTGAGATAGGTTACCATAACCCGTCTCAATTGATGTTTACTGGTCCATTACGCGTGCCCTCGCGCACGCCGGCATATCACCTGGTTAAGACGCAGGTAAAAAACATGTTTAATCTTTGTATGTAAACAATATTAGGAGTTTAATGTAGATATGTCATACATAAAAACTGAAAAATTAGAGCTTTTTTTATATGGTGCAGGACACATCTACTCTGCATACTTTTAAAATTATGGCATTTTCTATGCGTGGTAATCACAAATTTACAACGTAAATTTTAGAACGGTGTCTTAAAACCTCAAGGCCACACAAAGCACTATAAGCTAACACTGGTGATTAAGAACTTTCACACTACTAAAAACCTGACAGCCGTAACATATCTGAAATCATTTCAATGTTACAAAGCTGAGTTAAAACCCTCGTGGCATACTGAAACCTGTAGAAAATATGCACACAAATTGGAGCATTAGTTTAGGAACTAAGAAAATAAATCTATCAAAGATTTTTAGAATAGGAAGGTAGGAGGAAGCAAGGACAACATAAACATAGCTGCGGTAAGAGATATGTTTACTGTGTTCAAATCAATGAAATTGAAGCTATATTTATACATCACAGTAACTGGACTCAGCAACAGTCGCATGAATAAGGACATGAACCATTTCATTTTATTTTATTTTGCAATAGAAGCGCGAAACAAAGTGGCATGATTAATAAATGTTCGTCAACAAACCTATAAACTGAGTAGAAATCTAGAATGAGCATTACAGATAAAGTTTCAGACTTGGACAAATAAAAGAGAGTGTGCAATATTCTCTGTATTCTCTTTTGGATAAATTTTAGTTAGACCACTGGACCATTGTTGGTTCCTGCGCTCTAGGTTGTATTAAGTGTTCCTGAAATAACAAAATCTCAGTTCTATCACCAAATTGGCACACTTAAGACAACACACTATATCAAAGTTCTGAATATGATGGATTGACACCTGAAGCACGAATTAAGTGTCATGTTTAAGGATAGTGAGTTGTGGTCGCAGTGTTGCATTGCAGATGTCTAAATAATCACCTAAAATTGAAGTTTGCTTTGTAAGCTCCAAAATATTTGAAGGATCTATTTTTGGTACTTTTATTGTCTCAAACTGTAGTCTATCAGTAGCTAAGTATTCTATAGCAGATAACTACTATGTATTTTATACATGTGTTAAGATCATGGCACTTGCTAATTTCAT